AACAAGGGTGTGTTTCTAGGATCAATCTGAAATATGGCATCTCAGTCTTATTTTTTTGTAACTTATACTGCCTATTGCATTACAACTCATTTTCTGAAGTTAATTATGCGTTCTTTATTCAAAGCGGATTACAGTGCGATAACACCCAAGATAAACTAGTTAATTTCTTCCTGAGATAATCGGTAGATATTTCGCAGATTTCAATGGGTTGGATACAATGGAAAATGACATTGTAATTGAAAATGAACCTTGCGGAAATAAGGGGAATGGTAAAACATCGATGTTCACTGAAAATGGTGCTGATAAGTCGGCAGCTGTTGAATGTATAGGTAAGCGATGTTGCAATTTTAGCAATATTCTTAACTGACTATACCGATAGAAGAAAATGCCGTTCTTAATGAGATCTGTCGAGATTTGATAGTTACTATGGTTTTTCTTTATATGTATATGACTTTGTTTTGCAGAGCTAGATGACGATCATGATGACCCTGACTCTGGTGATGAGCCACCTGCGAAAAAGAAAGCAAAATCACCAGTGCCAGATGATCCAGACACTCAGGTTCAGTTGCATCTTTCTCGAAGCTGTGTACCATATTATACATAAAGAAAAAAAGAAGTAAATTCATATTTACAGGGCTTTAAATAAAATGAATTTTAGGCAGGGGAAAAGAAACCAGAATTGACAAGCGGTGAAGCTTTATTGAATAAGTTAGAGGCCTATGTCAAAGATGCAATCGATAAGAATGCGAATGTGGAGAGGTGAGCTAATTCTGTGAAGCGAATATGAGCGGTGTAAAGACGTAGTTAATTACTTCGGTTGCTTTATGCGTTATGCTGCTGGATTATTTACCCTAAAAAGTATTACCTGGCAAATCTTTCAGCACTGATCACTATAATTTTTTGTGATTTTTTTGATAAATAGGAGTAGTTAACTGGCAATACATGGCGCAAATGGTCTTTATTGTAGTGTTCTGTTTGGTTTAGGAGAACCTATCTAGTGTGTTTGGTTTAGGAGAACCTATCTAGTGAAAGTCAGAGATCATGAGTTCATGATTGTTTTTAGCATCTTATTTCGTTACATTTTCTATGCAGGAAAGTGTTGGATGCATTATTAGGAGCCATTAATATTCAAGTGCAGCGTGAACCCTTGTCTGTCCGGAAACTTATACTGGACAAGCAGTTGGTGTTACCAAACACCATTAGTTTCCCGCCGTCACAGGTATTTTTTGACATTTATTCTGCGTGTAAATTATTCATTAAAAATTTGACTAGATTTTTGTGTTGTAGAAATAATTTGCTTTGGAGTAAAACTGAAGTGCTATAAGAAGTTCAAAATCATTGGAATATTTAGCGTGCAGATGCTAATGAATTCTTCACAGGTTGTGGATTTGCTAATCGAACATGATCCTGATGCACCTTTATCAAAAGTGATCGGGCGGATGTTTGGCGACGAAAGGCCAAAGCTTTCCGAAGCTGAAAAACGCGAACGGCATTTGTTGAAATTGGGGCATCCCGCTCCTCATATGACCAAGTTGTTGATGGATATTGGACAAGATCTTGTTCAGGAGTCTACATATTCCGATATCGTCCATGCAAAAAATTTGCCTGAAACTCCGAAAAATATGGAAACATATAAACAGGTTTTCCGTGTTCATTCTATAATTTTAATGATGAACGAACATTTGAGTTCGTAAGTGTAATGCTCTGCATTTCCCTTATGTAGAGGTTCATACTTTGGAACAGATTTTATTTGGTATTCTCTACAAGTTGTAGTGAATTATTAAAGATTTCCTGAGATATATAAGTCGTGTTTGAGGTTGCACAGCAGCTTAAACCAGTGTGGGAAGCTTTGCGGAAGAAAAATGAACCATATAAACTAAAACAGTATACTTGTCAGCTGTGCAATTTCCGAACTGAATCACGAATCATTCTTTCGGTGCATCGGCAGACACCACACTTTGATGGAAGGAAATACCAGTGTGCACTATGTCCTGAATTTTTCACGAATGAAAATATGATTTCACAGCATTATCTGTATGTTATTTGTCCACCTTAAATGATCTCTACCATTATCTGCCGATTATTATGACTATGAAATTAATTCTAGTCCAGTTTTATGTTTAGGAGAGAGCACGATCTTGTGGCTGGGAAGGAAGAAGCTATCCCTCGAAATCCTTGCCCATGTTGTAACGAAGACTTCATGTACAAAGGACAACGAGACCAACATCTCAAAATGTGTCGAAGAGATCTGAATAGAGTTCGGTGAGTGCATGTTATGGATTTACTCAGAAATATTCAAAATTTTTGTGGCATGTCATCGAAAAAGATCGTGGTTTTCATGTTATTTGTGTGAAGAGCTAGCAGGTTTGTTATCTTCCTGATGCTTCCCATGGATTTCTCACCTCATCTCCAGCTTATATTCCAGCCTGATAATGGCACCAAAGCACCCGCAAGATGTCAGTGCCATCAATCACTGGTTATGGGATAAGCCTCCTGTTGATCCGACGATATTGCAGCAACAACAAGTGGCGCAGCGGCAACAAGTAGAGGTTTGTTTATAATTTTTCTTAATTCTTGGATAGACGATGGTGTTGTATTTTTTCAGTACGATGATACCTTTCATTGTCTTTACATATCTTTTGGACGTTATGAGCAGGATTCCGTTTCCAGCAACCGTTCCTTTTATCCACTCTTTCTTGAATTCATTCTAGAAACTGCAGCGTGCTCAGTTGGCGCAACAACAGCAGGCGCAACAGCGTCGTAGTCAGTCTGCCGTGACTAATTCAGCACTTTTGGCAGCACAGCAACAGCAAGCTGCACTCCTCTTACAGCAGGTACTGTTTAAGGATCGAAGTGTGTTTATTTTTCTTCTACATTTTCAAGATATAATTCGTATGTAAGTTTATATGGTCATTAAGTACATCTTGCTGTTCAGTTCAAGGTGAAGAATATTCATGTCCTTCAGTCTTCGGAATATATTTTGTAAAATGAAACCAAAGACTGTTTAGTGCTCTTTCCACGTTTGTATTTAGTTGTACCGGATAATGTGAAATAATTTATAGCAAAGGATAAGGGCGGCGCAAGTCGTGGCTCATCATCAACACCAGGCAAAGATGTCTTCGTTAATAGGAAATCCAAGTCTCTTGGCAGGTAAGAAAACGAAATATGACTTCCGGTCAGCGTTAGAAATCAAAAATTTATATGGGATGTTTTGTTGTGCTCCATTGGAATGTCACTCGAAACAGGACAACTCCAATTTTTAGTTTCGAATAGATTTTCAAAACCTTATTTACTTCGGATTATTAAATTATAATATTTTTCAGCGATGCAGCAACAGTTGCAACGTGCTGCTGTTAGTGGAATGCGTACCCCGGGATTGTCCTTATTCGCCCAGCGTGGAGTAGCTGCCGGAATCCGTGGACCAACTGTGGCCCAACACACAGCTGCTTCACTTGCTGGACGTATTAGGGCACCACCGCAAGTATATTGGTTTTTTTTGTGGTACTTTTAGAAAACATATGCATGTTATGGATAATCACATACGTCTTTGTTGTGCAAACGTTATAGTATTAGCAAAGTTCGATTTCTTGGGCTGCATATAAGGAAGGTTGCATTATGTTGATGTTATGGGCTGTCATGAAGTCATGCGGAAATATTTTCGGTGCAGAATAACTCTCATAACCTTTGTCTTTCATGCTAACGAATTGGTCTTATGTTGTTCTCTTTAGTTTTCTTTTGGAAGACAAGGATAACGGGAATTCTTCTATGCTTATCGAGATAAGTTATCGAATAAAAACTATCACGGGCTAAAAGTGGGAGGAAATATGGCAAAACATGTGAGACCCGATCTTCCTAAAACATGAATAATTGCTCACTCGTCTGAAGTACTAAATGTGGTGATGTGTTGTTCTGTCTTGTAATATGAAAAGTTCTTATTTCTCAATATGTTCATTTCAATACATTTTCGTACTTTGTTAAGCAAATGAAATTTAATGTCAGAGCATTTAGAGTGGGGTATTATGAACAAGTGGGATCATTATTAACAAAATTAGTAGTTTTCTTGATTGCAGGTCCCAGCATCTCGTACACAACTAGGTGGAGTTATATCTGCTGGACATAACAACAATGTTTGTGAAATCTGTGATCAAAATGTCCAGGACAGGGATAGATATCTGACACATTTGCAACTCTTCCATAAACAGATGCGCGGGAAAACATCAGCTGATATGCAGCAGGCAAGCGAGCATTTCATGAGCTAGTGAATGCAGTCGGTTATTTCCAGTTTATATAGACAGTTTGTTCATTTCTTTTACAATGATATTTTTCATATTTCTGTTAGTTAAGGAATATGAAAAGTCGTCCGTTTCAGGGCGCACCGTTAGCTTGTAGTCGTTGTCGTGATAGATTCTGGACATATGAAGGGTTGGAACGGCATCTTGTCATGGCACATGGCCTCGTTACTTCTGATCTCTTAACAAAAGCACAGAAAAAAGAAGATGGTGGGCGTTGCAAGCATTGCGGCAAGGTAATACTTGTTCCTCAGTATTCAATTATGTTTCCGTTGTTTTGGATTGATAGCTGTTTCATTACGCATTTATAGCTTTCTTAACGTGAAAGTCTTTCAACTAATTTAATTTTATTTAGAAAATCAAGCTTTTTCTAGCAATATGCTTTCAATATGCTGCAACATTTGGTGACGGATCATCAGGTAAAACTATGTTCTGCTGAAATTATGTACAGCTGTGATGTTTGTGCCTTCAAGTGCAGTAGCTACAGTAAGCTCGAAGTACATCTGAACACCGTACATCCAAAAAATCCTACGCAAAATTCTACTTTGAATAATGCGGTCAGCTCAGCATCGGGTAATTTTGATTTGTTTATATTCCATTTCATTTATCTTAAATATATGAACATCGCTTTGCTTAGTAGCCTTACGTAGCTATGTCCATGCTTTAGCTCGTCGGATTCATGACAGACGATCACCTGTTGCATGCTTTTTGTCCTTGATATTTCTGGGAAACAAAACTAAATTCTGAAATTGGATTTGATACCACACAAATCTACTTTGTCTTGTTCACTTTAATTTTCGCACAAATTCAATTTGCATGTTTTTCTAGGGGGACACAATTTAGAAATATTGTTTCTTCTATGGCACAATTACTTTCCGCTCGGTTATTTTCTATTTGTGTGCTAACTGATTTTTTTTTGCTCGCAGATTTTCCGTCCTCCTTTGAGGAGATAAGTAGCGAAGACAGAAACGAAGATTTGAAGGGATGTTGGGCCAGATCTGGGCAGATTATCCCGAAATATGGAGTAATTGGAAATAGCAAAAATAAAAATGTGGATGTCATGCATGAATTGCACCGATATTTTCGACCCAGTGCCGTCATCACGAAAACCAATGTGATAAAAGCAAGGAAGTCATCCAGTGAAGACGGCAAACTGCAGTGCTGTACGAGTTTCAAATCTCGAAGGGTATTACGCGATTGGAATATTATGTTCTAAATCGTTACATCCGGATTAAAAAAAAAAGAGAAATACCAGACAGTGAGGCGAGAAAAAGTTAAGCTTCCTTATATTGCAGATATTGTAACATGTATTGCTGTGTAAAGCACAATTCGCAGTCTAGGTTTATGCTTCATAGAATCGATCAGCATAAGCAACTCATGTAGCAAGTGTATTTGCTACGAAAGACTTCCTGTGAAAGTTAATTTTTATAATGTAGCTAAGTATCGCAACCTGAGCTAAACATAATGGATTTAGGAATTCAGGTACGGGATGAAATTCATAATTACTGCATAATAGACTTTTATCGTTTGGGTAGGATTAGATGCTTCCTATGTAGTATTATGTTTTAATTTTTGTTCTTTAACTTCCATATTTACTACATCTAAAAGTCGTTGAGAAAAGCGTGAGGGAAGCTTTGGATAACTGGGAACGCATATGAGAAATCTGAAAATCTGGAATGTACTGGGACAGTCCTACTAAAAATGGTTTAATGGCACTGGGATTCCGGGTTTCTTCCAACTTTTCTAACGTTTTCTTGGTGATGAAGGTGTGTTGTTACTAATCATTAATTAACGGTTGTTCCACCAAAGCGCCAGAAGCAGCAGCTATCATTAACAGAAAATGCTATTTTGGTGCTTTTTTTGTTCTCAGCATGCTGCTAAGAGAAATTTTGACTACGCACCCCTTCCATATGACAAAATTCAAATTAATAATGCATTACAGTTGCTCTGTTTTTCCCATGAATGTCTTGTGTGATTGTGTTTGCGATAGTAGCTTTTTCTGACTGTCTTTCTCCATGCTTACTGAGACGCAGGACACAACAGGGATTTTTCCGGATTCAGGTCCAGAGATGGTCAATTGTCTTGACAAAATGATCGTATTCAATCATTCCCTCAAGGATCTCCTGTTTTTAGTAAACTTTTCTATTCTGTTAAGGACATTCTTGGTGGGACACTTTTGGATACTGGTTTTCTTGACTGGATCAGTTTTCTTACGGTTAAAAGTTCCCATTCACTCTTACCTGGAATTGAGATTAGAATGGTTTCGGAACGTTAGACATTTTAATGATCCTAGATCATCTGCTTTAGTCGCATATTTTCTACTGTTTTGCTTTGGACATTTAATGGAATGAGATGATTATAAAACTAAGGGCTTTCTTTAACCGAAATATGTTTAGGGGCAAGGAAGGTTTAACTTTGTGGGTCGCAGACTGCTCAGGCCGGAGAAAGACGTCGATGCTATCTTTCCGAGCTGAGGGAACATTGCTCGGTATCCGGTGTATTTGAAAGGAAATGTTACTTATTCTGATTATGTTTTTCGTCATGTCTCAACATTCTGTTTACTTAGCTGTGCAGTAGTTATCTGTGAAGCGCGATCACAATTTCTGCATGTCAGATAAGAGTGGTGTCATTGACTGGGACAGTGCCGAAAATATTTATAGCGGAACGAAATGAAATTCATTTGGTCAAGAAATGGTTTGTGTATTACTGGCTTTTCTCTACCTATATCATTTTACATTCGTGTGTTTCAAATGAGATTTTGTTACTGAACTATTGGTAGCGAATCCTTACATTTTGTGCGGCGAGAATTAAGATCGTTTGTGAGTTTGTCGTACTTGTTATTTAGCGTGAGAACTATTTTATGGATAACTGTGAACAACCCGAAGAGCTCTTCTAATTGTAGTGGATTGGTTGCTTAAATGTCACTATTCAATGATTTTTTTAAAGTGTATTCTGGAGTATTTCTATTGCTGATATATTGATTTATACGTTTTTATCATGTGTATAACCTATATTACATTTTCAATTTCCATCTGCGATGTGTTTGTACGTTTTATGTTATTGTTTGTATGTTAAGTGTCATGGTGTTTTGTATGCAAACCTCATTCAGGAAATGGTTGCATCTTGAGCTGTTTCAAGTTAGGACTTTTAAATTTCCAGAAATGATGTTTAGGGCACAGGTTTTGTGAAAGGCAATTTGTCGTGCAATAACGTAACAGGCTGGAGCCTCTGCGCATTTTTATTTGCTGCATTATTTGACGACTTTGCTATTTTATATTTGAATCAGTGAACTCTGTCATTTGGTAATGCTGCATTGATGATGGATTCGTAATGTGCAGCGAAGACTTAAGCGGTTTAAAGAAAATTAATAACAGGAGACAGTGGAAACGCTTTCCCACGAAGTGTGGCATTCGCATTTAAATAGAGAGAGGATTCTAAATCGCTCTAGCGTGCTGTAGGTTTTGGGTTACGTTCAGAGTAGTGAGTGGGGAAACAGTCGCTGTAACGTCAAGATTTACAGAAACAAAATGTACGGACAGGTGTATAATGTGAGAATTCAAAATTTTCAAAGCATGTCACGCTGTTTACATCTTGAGTTGATTCGGCTCTCATGCATACTCGGATAGGTTGATGACAGTAAAATATCGGTCATTCTTGCAATTCAGGATTCAGTCATTATTGCTGAACACTTTTTCTAGACGGGTAACGCCACCAGTATTCAGCTACTGTCTGAAGCAAATGGGAATGACGCAAGGATTCCAGCGGACACGCATAGCTTTCCCCTGACAGGACAGGAGGAAGTTACGCGTACTCCCTGAAATCTAGAGCGATCTACAAACAAGTGGATAAGTGGTCAGTCTTTTGCATGACGAAGTTTGAATTACTGAGTAATGTGCTTTATTAGTTCAAAAGCTATCCTAAAGTTAAAGTCGCAAAGCTCACCTTATTTTCTATTAGGTTCCCATATATATCATACTTGACAACCTCCACACGATGTAAATTGGCGAGGACGTACAACGGATAACACCAAAAACATGCACCCCAAAGAACGTTCGTCCAATTCGGCTAGATAAATGAGAACAAAAGCAGGTTAGTGTTCGGTATAAATGTAAAAAGCTTGAGAAGTGTACAAGCTGCTTGGCAGGTTTAGGGGATTAGATTCAAGATATCCAAGGTTTGACATCCTAGGACGACTTATTACTTTCTATTCTACTGAATGGGTACTTCACTAACCATTTCTGCAGTTGACGCGTGGAACTTTTATGCAACACGTTCGGAAGATATGCAGTATTCGAACTGACTTATCAAAAAACAGTACGTCCTTGGTAGGAATACCAGGTACTTCTGCTTCAGCTAAACACTTCTTCGTATCTGGAATGAAACCAAATGTAAGTGTTTGGTAATCCCGAAACAAAGCCATCGAAGCCCTATGACTCCACTAGAGCAAGCGTTCTGAAAAATAAGTAGCCTCGAAATGAAATAGTTTTTCTCAAGACCGCAACCTCTTGTACGAGGGATTTGCCATCTTCCATGAGCAGCACTCATTGTACCAGTTGGTAGTGAATACTTCCACTTTGCAACAGTGCAGGTAAGTGATCTGAACTTTTGACTTTATCCAGATAAGATGGCAGACTTCCATTATGCGTTGTCTACATGTAAATAGATGACTGCAACAAAACAAACGACTATACGAACGACTTCAATCCTTTTTTGGAAGACGAGTTTCCCGATGTTCAACGATATAGTGTTGAAGGAAAGCAATGCACCAGGTGATTGAATAGCAGTTATGAGAAAGATCTGACTGGGATTATTTACAAGTGCAAACATATTACAGAAATCAAAGTCCATGCTAATAGTCTTGTGGGAGACACCGCAACTTAGTCTTGTTTTCTAATGGAGATCATAACCACTTGCTCTTCTTCAACAGTAGCACATTCTGGATGCTAAATTTCATAATTAAAAGAGCAGTTTCTTAATATTTCAGTAAACGTCTGTATACGAGATCAATGAATTTCATAGCGGGGGTGGCTATCCGCGAACTGAATGCAAATGGTGGAATCTTGGATTGCGTTTTACTACTCAGAACTGGTGAGATTTTCACTCTGTGACGGTTACCATTTCCTGGGAAGTGAGGGATATGTATTGCCGTGACGTTATCGTAATTTTGTTGCTTTCAGGTGCTTTTGCCATGGATGTAAAGCCAAATCATACCATTTATATCAATAATCTTAATGAGAAAACGAAAAAGGAAGGTAGGCTGTACACTTTGATCAGCTTATCTGGTAGTAGTTCTGATGTGGGCATGCCGAGTAAAATTAGCAATCTGAGATAGATTTAGTGGGATTGGGAAAGATAATTTCTATTTGCGATACGATGGATAAATTTTTTAGAGCTCAAAAAGGCTCTTTACGCAATTTTCTCGCAGTTCGGGCAGATCATTGATATAATGGCATTCAAAACACTGAAGATGCGTGGGCAGGTTTGTTTTATTCTTAAACATTTAGGCATACTTCGTACCATATTGTATTTTTGTATATATGTACAATATATATATATATATATATATACATATTGCCGCTACCTGCAAGGCCCCTACTTCTGTTCTTTGAACTTACATGTGGAGTCTCACTTTTGTACTGAAGTGTGAATATATCAAGTTCATACCGTTTAACTCCTTTTCCTTGGTTAATGTATAAATTTCTGCAGGCACATGTGATATTCAAGGAAATAAGTTCAGCAACGAACGCCTTGCGTGCGATGCAAGGGTTCCCGTTTTACGATAAGCCTATGGTGGGTTTGATTTATTTACACTTGGTCCACGAAGACCTTCTACTTACTGAACTTATCATCAATATTTCTTCCATCTTCGTAATCTTATTTCGATTTTGTAAAGAATTTTTCTAGGTTTAGACATCATTGCGATGGTAAGCTTTTGCTGTATTCGTTTGCCACTCCCCACCTCTAAACATTCCTTTAGTCGGTCAAATCTGAGGCACCAAAATATTTAAAACATTTTGTTTTACAGCGTATACAATTTGCACGAGAGGATTCTGACGTTATTGCGAAAGCGAAAGGTACTTATGTAGATCGTCCGAAAAAGCACCTTCTTGCCAAGCAGGCTGCTGGAGAAAAGCGGAAGAAGACAAATCATGTAAAGGAAAGTAAAAAAGTAAAGTTTCGTCAATATTTAATTTGCACAACATATGGTGGTTAATGGCTAGGCTTGACGAACGAAGATTTGGAAAGGGCTCTACCACGCTTGCTGTAAACGCTATAAATTTGGGTGTATTCTTCCAGTCTGCGCAATGAATTTTTCTAGATGAGGCACAGCGTACGCGGAACTGGCCCCACCCGTCATTTTCAAGGTTCATCTACCAGAGCCTAGGGAGCTAGGGTGAGACGTAGTTTTTAGGATAACCGTTAGGACAACCTCTTAAATGAATAGTCTCACAGGGCTGAACGAGCTTTATCTGCTCTGATTTAGAGTTAAAATTGTCCTCCGGGATAGCTGTCGAGAGGTTAACTGCTCGCCACCCATCCTGCTTGTGCTCGTGGACCACCTTCTCTGACCCTTTATCTGAGGCCTGCCTCGCATGGGAAGCCCTACCGGAGGATAGCTCGTCAGCATAGCTCGCAACTACATAAGGGGACATAAGCTCCGGGCGACACGGGGGTGTCCGTGGGAAATACCCATATACGTGTATATATATATATATATATATATATGTTGCAAATACTTCAAGTTCTCTGCATTTGATTCCATTGTAGATGCGTATAGACAAAGGCGCTACTGGGAAAACCGAGCTTCCGGAAAAAGCAAACCCGCCGAATAAAATCCTGTTTTGCACAAATCTGCCTGAAGAGACAACAGAGCAGATGCTTTCTCTTCTTTTTAATCCGTAAGTTTTAGTAACAGTCTTTTTAGGATTCAGCTCCCCAATTTTGAAAAAGTGCGTACAGCAGAGTATTTCTCGTTATGGTTATTTAGATCGTTTATTGTTGGAGAACTTTCCATCAGAATTGTTCTGCAAAAATTCAAAAACTTCATTACTATCATCAGTTGATGTAGACTCTGTTGAAGTGTCACACTTAAAAAAAAATTTTGGACCTTCTTTTTATAGTTACCCTGGTCTCAAGGACATCAGACGTATTCCGAATAGGCCAGATATTGCATTTGTTGAATTCGAGACGGAAGCTGAAGCAACGTCAGCTCGTGCTGGTTTAAACAATTTCAAGATAACACCTTCGCAGTCAATGTATGTCAATTACGCCAACAAATGATTTTCCTGGTTGCTCCTTTTGTTTTTGTTGATCTCTGGGGTATCCTTAATATTCTCTGCGTGTGGTTCTTTTTATTTACCATAGTGTTGCGTTCAGTTATGTTCAATTTTTCTTGTCTTTATGGGCGTAATTTAAAGTATTAGCTTCATACTGTTTTATGAACCACTTATTTCGTATTTTTATGAAACACTTATAAATTTTATACTGTTTCGTGAACCATTTATAAAATAAAATTCCGCAAAAAGTAATATTTGTCCTCCACTTTAATTGCTATCGAAATGTCAGTGCATTGCATCCTTTCGATTGTTAATAATATTGATTATATTTCGTATTTAATTATATATTTTGGTAATAGGTTTATATGTTTATTAATGTGCCCCTGGTTGACTAGTTTATGACGTGCGATACCGATATTTGGGATGTTCTAAGATTTTGTAGATGTGACAGGAAATTCGTTGGGCAGCCATCACTTTTTAAAGAAAGTATGAGATAATATGTGGTAACGAATGATTTGATCAGGATAAAATCTCACTGTCGCAGGGGTCGATAAATTTTTCTTGGATATGGTTCTAACTGGCACCCTGTAGCTCTGTGTATTTTTGTGGTCATATGCTGTTGAAGCAGTATGAATCCATTCTTTCGTATTGGTAGTTCATTTTAAATCGTTATCTTTGTCTCGGTTTTTCAGTGTTACTGAAAAATTGTTAATCGAGTTGCGCTTTGAAAAAAGAGCTTGAGGTTTTGAGCTTAGCTTTTTCGGAGATGTACTTATTTCATTTGAAGCCGGCTTTTCCCTTACGTAATTTTTGGTGAGTATTTACTTTTCAATTTCTCGATAATCACTTATTTGAAAATTTAAATTGGTTATGCAGGCTGTATTTATGGCATCAAATGCAGCTTGTTTCTCTTTCCAGTAAAATCAAAAAACGGTACACCAAAGCTTTGGATTGTTGGAAATGTCATAAAGCTATTGAATGTTTGAAGGTACATTTCCATTCCTTTAAAAAATGATGCGTAGTACGTGATGAAATCCCTGATCAAGCGAAAATATTTTCAATATGTAGGGGGAATTTAATTTGCTGATGGAACCTTTCCATTCGCTTTTCCTATTTTTGATGTCATATTGAATTTTTCTTGTTTTTATTATCTTTACCTTATCCAAGTGATATTGGCAATTAATTAAATCAGAAGCCAAGTTCTTCACCTTTGTAAATTATTTATCTGCTAATTCCTTTCCGATTCGCTCTTGTTATATAGTTCTAAAACCTCATTATTGAGATACGTAGAATGAGAATTAAGATTGGTTGAACTGAAGGATTTTATGTAGATTTGGTATAGTAACTCTTCAATGTCTTTCTACTTGTTGATAAGTGGATATTGCTTGTTACAGGAAAAGGTGTTTTGTCCAGTGTGTTCAGCCATCCAACCAGTTGAAGGCAGAAATTATTTCGATTATTTAGGGCTACTTCCTGGATTTGACGTTGATCTTTCATTATTGAAGATGAATTTTCTCAAGTTGCAATCAGTTATTCATCCTGACAAATTTTCAAAACATTCTCAAGTAGTATTTTGCTTTATGCACTTTTGAAAACTCACTGTGCATTTCGACAATTAATTTGTTTGCATCGTCTTCATAGAAGGAAAAAACCCTTGTTTGTATCATCTTCATAGAAGCGAAAAAATATTCCTTTTTTCTTAAAGGCGAGGTGAGATTATTTGATCTTCGTTGCATCGTTTTCAGCTTACTCTTGATTAAATTGATTACTTGGTCAGGTTTTTTTTTAAATCTTCTAAGGATTCATATCGATTTTACGGAAAATTTACTCGATATTTCCTCATTTCTAATTCCTTCCAACCTGAAATTCATGGGGAAGTTAAATTCTGGCGTCACAGTAAGTACACGACAATTCATTCATCACTTTGTAGAAGGAGAAAGAAATATCTGAAAATTGCTCACGATATCTCAATGAAGCGTATAAAACATTGACCGAACCGTTGGAGAGAGCCAAATATCTGCTAACGTTGAAAGGGGAGCCACTGAATAATAAAAGTAACTTTCCCAAACTTGTTTTGATTATCGATTATTAATCATTACGGAACTCAATTCCCAGTTCATTAAATTAGTTGTACAACAACTTCCGGAATTTTACTCCAGCATTCTGGCTGGCAGATTGTGTGTTTTCCTGAAATCCAAAAAAACTTCGGGAGGTTTAAATTTATTTTGTTGGTCAGAGGTGGTTCAGTAGTTGGTGATACTATTTCTAGATGCAATGGGCAGCAGGGATTTCTTGGCAGAAATGATGGAACTGAATGAATTGATAGTAACAAGCAATGATTCAAAGGAACTGAAGATTTTGTTGGATGAAGTGGAAACTAAGATTCAGTTGATAGGAAGAGAATTTAAGAGCAGCATTGAAACAAACGAGCTTAAAAAAGCGAAGGAAGCTGTATTCAAATTAACCTTTTACTACCGTTTGAAGGCCGGTTTATCAAGTAAAATGGCAGATAATGAATAAATCTTTACTTCTCAGTTGTTTTGCTCAAAAACAAAAGTGGAATGGTCATTTATTCTGAGCACTGAAATTTTTCTACATTAGAAATATATAACACCGAAGTGATGAAGGGTCAGAAGATGGCATTTCATGCCCCTTTTGTTTTTTTTTTCTTTCCATATTATGAACATTTACACTTTTCATAGTCAGTCAAGATTTCTTGAGAAAGCCTGGCTTCAAGCACTTGCTTTCGCAATGCTAAAACGGGTTTAGTCTTTCAATATTACGGATCCAGTCTCGAGTCACCTCCAAACTTTGAAGGATGGAGCAAATAGGGCGAGTGTTTGATTGCTGAAAAGGTCCCCCTTCATTTTTGTCCCATAGTTTGCTCTACTGTGTTTGGCTGAAGCTCGCAGTGCATATCTGGGCTATAAACAGCTTGGTTATTGAACCGGTGACCAGAAAGGAATGGAAAGGGAAAATAAGCGAATTTAGTCAAGCGGGAAGAGGTCATAATGCATCTTCCTTTGGGAGCCCGATATGCGGGGTCCTGATCATTTGGTCTCTTCTTTAGTTGTTTGCAGCCTAATCATCCTGCCCATCAGCTGGTGCATGTGCAATACAGAACTTGACGTATGTATACTCCGCACCTGTCCTAGTAAATATGTTTAATTCCAGTAAATATATTTATCCATCATGGACGACTTCTAGCAAGTATAGCATTGAAAACGTCATAGCATGCCTTACAGTGCCTACAGATTGCAAGGAGGAAATGGCCAGAACGCCTTATTTGTGAAGTGCGAAAATTGTTTCCAGTGGACATCCCGCATTTCACATGAACAACGATACTTCGTACTTTAGTAGGTTCCTGTATCCTCCATCCGAGGATACACCGTATGGATAGAGTATAATGTTGAAATATACCAAAAACCGCCTATGTGACTTACCAGAAAAACTGAGAAGTAGGAAGAACAAAATTATGCAACAAGCGCACAGATATACCATAAGCTTCCGGGGATTACTTAGCACTCTTACACAAGGGGCTCGCACCCTCCTTCTTTTCTCCCATCCCTCTATAGCCGCCTCCCTATGTCTGCTACAGCGTGCCCTCCTCATCCTCTCAGTCACAGTCTCTCTCATCTGCCTTTGATCAGCCTGCTTATGGGAGAGTGTCAGAATGGAGGACGGACAATCGATTGAAAGTCGAGCGCACCTCTTCTCGCATTCATTCACCATTTTTAGGCTTAGCGTGTGGTGGTGGTGGTTTCGTGTTACGATCTCGTTGGCGTCTTCCAGTTCTTTGCTCGGTTATACATAATTATGCACTTGCTATTTTATCTCAGAACAATTGGAAAGATTGGCCTGAGGTCGTGGAATGGTTGAATTCTGGATCCTTTCGGCAGATCTTATTCTGTATCCTTACATTTTTCGATCAGTCGCGTGTTTGTTTGTTGTGCTTTATGCTTATAATTGTGTTTCCATCTAAAAGTTCTTCCTTGTAGTTCTCGGGTCGTTTCTGTCTTTTGTCAAGGTCTCACGTTCGGTCCCGGAGAAGATCATGTCTCGCTCAGTATTTGGTCAGTTTCATTTTGCATCTTTTCACTGCAAGTGCATCTTAAGTGGGAGAATTTACAAGACTGTTTGGTGTGGTGGGAGACTCTGATTTTTCATGGATCTAGTAGCCATATCTTACATAAATCCGTATTATAACTAAATGATGAACAAGAAACAGTTCTGGAGAGTCATGTATTGATAATTCAGTGCCGCGAAATATTTAAACGATTTGAAACTGCCGAAGTATTTTAAGGGAGTGTTGCCAGATTTCATAGGTAGAGGAGTCCTGTTACGAGTTGGTGCTTTGTTCAGATACATGGTCTTGCCGTCATCCCTCACCTCTCTTTCCTTTTCAATACGATTCCTAAGAGATAAATGTTGAGGGAGGCAAGGTTTTAATTTCTCTTCAACTGGCATGCTTGGTAGAAACTCGGGTGCAGATTGTTTATACCCTGGACCTCAGGCTTTTACAGCAAGTTTCTTGGCGGTGTAGCCTGAAAAAAAACGTATCGACATCTACATACATTATGTAAGTATGTAAGTCGGGAATACAGATCTTGTCAGCCGTACTTGCCATTTTTTTGGCAACATTATAAAATTTTTGAATTGCTGTTTTTCAGTTGGAAACTTGCCTTACAGCGCAAGAGAGGAAGATGTGGCAAATTTCTTCTGGCAAGTTGGTCCGGTAACCAGCGTGCGTATCGTGCTGGATCGGGATACAGGTCGTCCGCGTGGTTTCGGTTTTTGCGAATTCGAAACGGAGGCAGCGGCGGAGCAGGCTGTTGGAAGTATGAACCATGCAGAATTTATGGGACGTCAACTTCGTGTTGACCGTGCTATTTCTCGATAAATAACTTCAACGGCTTTAGGCGTACACCCATTGTTTTGTTGTGATCGTCCCGTTTCAAGAGTTCTTTTGCAACCCGATTACTCATGCATTGGTGTAATTACAGTGTTGATGTATTCCGTGGCAGTTTATCCTTTGTCACTTCTTTGAATTTCTTTTCAGTACAAATATAACTTTTCTGTTCTGACACGTATTTTCAGAAATAAAAACTACATTTTAAAGTGCGTAACGAAAAATGGTTCTACAAAATTACGTTGTGGCTGTCAGGTAGGTGATGCATAAACATGTGGGTCTATTGTGATATTAGTTAATTATTACGGCCTAGATGCGGTGAAATTCAACTAACACTATCTGCACCGCAATTCGGGACTCTTCGTATTCTGTGGGAACCAGGAGCTTCCCATTATCAAGTCGACTTTCTACATTGTCATCTCAGGCGCGGCAGGAACAACTTCGCGACAATGGTTGGTTCATTCTCGTTTGGTAGTAGTTGACCCAGTTTTTCGGCAGAGGCAGAGGTCGGTGATGAAGCGGGGCTGAACAGTAGAAATATATTCAGACTCCGTAAGTATTGTTTGGCGCCAGACCACGCCGCCTTGTGTTTGTTAGCAGCGCCCTTAGGCATTCCATGCGTCCACATATATAATAAGTATTCTGCGCAGAAATAAGCTGTGCGGATACCCTGCCTGGTATTTCCTTCGCTGAGCAGAGGTTCGGTAAATGTATTTCCGCTCCAGACATGCAAGTCAGACTGGGGTCTTATAATTAGTGAGAATAATCATCAGGAAGTATTCGTATTTCCAATAATTTAGGGAGACTCATTTCCATATATCACTGAAGACGAGACGAAAGGAATTGAGGTGCAAGATTAGATAATTGTTTATTTTCCGTAGGATTAATTAAGTAGATCAGATAGTACGGATTTACTGGATTTTCTTCGGCAAATTACGGAACGTATATATTGAGTAACTATACGGTAGTAACTATCGATGGTAGCGATCGTTACCATGAGTAGAACTTTGTTCCATCACAACTTCCAGCATCCCTTCATAATTTCTTCCCTTTTTTGAACTCAAAACAGCTGAATTTGAATGTGCAGGTGAGTTACAGCCTTTTGCTTCAGCAGTTAATCCAAATTCCGCAGATATTTTCCAACCTGAGACCTTATCGTTCAAGAAAATGTAATTCTTTACTCAGTCATTTTTCACTTAGCCAAATCACATATCATAATCCATAAGTAACTGGGGAAAAAATATCCGAAATCTAGCCGAATCAAGACAAATATTAATCATATGTTCATCGGCCTTTTGATTAAATAATTTTCTAATGAATTCTTAGGTATCGTATTTGACACTTTTCTCTTCATCAGCCTTTTCTTTGGCGTCTTGTCTTCCGGACTTCCACCGTCTACCGTCGCATTGATGGTATTTTGATCATTTTGCAGTTCACTTATCGCTTTTCTGAAAAGTTTATGCAAGAAGTGACCAATGTCTGCGACTAAAATTATACAAGCCCAAAAACCGAAACGTTGAACCTAACGCTTTTTCCGCTACATAAAACTATATTTGCCATGCTTTTAATGATGCCTACAAAAATACCAGCAAACGTATATATAAGTGTTTCATATCAATTTCTGAACCTATTCAAACATTCGTCAATATGTTGATTCACCAATGTGAGCTTCTTTGGCAATGCGACTTTGCAAATTGGGCAAGGTTGTGGTTCAGCCAAATGAACCACTTCTTGAGAGGTACCATCTAGTCCGTCTTCAATGTCGAAGTTGCGATCAAATTTCAAATTTGAGAGTAAAAGACTATTATTTGACGCATCATCACTAATATATCCCAATGCTGTCGATTCCGTTTCTTTTTGCTTCCAGAATGAGCATAGCGGGTTTGAGGGCTCAATCTGATAAAATGTAGCATTAGGAAGCGAAAAAATGATCCATATAACAATTATAAATACTAAACTGTGGAACCTTCTCATTTTCGAAGACTAGATGCGCTAACCGTACACCAAGCAATCTCAAATATTTATCACTGCCATGGTCGTTGTGCATTTCTCGACGTACAAACTTTGAGCATAAAGCAAATAAACGGTCTACATCAGAAATCATGTAATCCACGCTGAAAAACTACTTAGTCAAGAATTTTATGATAATTCCAAAGATCTTAGTGAGAAGTATAAAAGTTTTACCTTACTCTTTAGCGGAAACTTGGAATCAATCATGAAAGTGGAATGACAAAAAGAAAGAACATGATACCAATAGTACCTGCAGCATCTTGTAATTACATCAAACGTCGAGAATTTCATCTTTACAGTAACTGTTCGTCCTCCTCGAACTCTATGATCGGGTAAAGAATCAATAAGTTCGTTGCAAAGACTCTCCAACGTCTGTAACGTACAAAAAGCCGGCATTATAAGTGAGGTTTTCAAGTCTTAAAGACTGAACGGTACTTTGGAATGCTCAGATTTTACTATTTCCTCGTCTTACAAACCTTAACTATAATTTAAAAAAAATATCTATAACGCATTTCCTCGAGAAGAGCTCCAAGATCTCCAGTAGGATGGAATGTTCTTTCTGTACTGATACTTTTCCGCCTTATTTTTCGATCAACACTGAATACGTGAGATATACCACGAGCAATTCGCAAAAAATATTCGCAACTGCGTTGCGTGAAAAGCAAACTGATTATTCCACGCTGCTCATATAAATCACCACATTTTTCCAAACCTATTCCTTTTAGAACTGCTTCTGTTACAGGTCCAATCCCGCTTATCTGAAACATTAAACATGAACTGGTTCTGCTTATATCAAAATAAATTTTAGAAACAATGGAAAATAACAAGTAAACTTCATTACTAAATTCAGTGGATGTGTAAAATTACTTTGCGTATGGGGAGATCCTTCAAGAAATTCAAAACGGCTTCTCTTTCATTCAGCAGACGATACTGCCCGTTTGGTTTATTGATATTGGAACATACTTTGGCTAACAGGGAATTTGGCGCAATTCCTGCAATATATACCACCACACATGGAATTCGCCTTTCAGTTCAAGTTATCAGCTTGCTGCCCTTTCCTCATAAACTCAACAATTGCTGAACTTAACGACTACTACTAAACGATATATCATTAACTGTACCTGCACTGCAAGTTAAACCCACTGCTTGTTCTACTCTGAATCGTATTTCATGGACAATCTAAAAAATTGTTTCATCCAGCAAATATTTTCGAATGGCATTAATAGGTTCTTTCATAGAAACAAGAAAATTGTGGAACACATACTTCATCAACATCAACTCCGAAAGTGATACGATCTCGTACACATTTACGTAGTTTTTTACATTTTGTGCATATCTCTTCAGTAATTTCAGCACTGACCAAGTGGTACATCTCATTTTCCGTAATCAAAGGCAATCGGCAAACACACTCACCCATATATCGAATTCGTTCGTGTTCGGCTGCAAAATGCATCTTTAAAATAAATATGGGGAAAATCACCAACAGCACAACAACTATGTACCTGAGCCAGTGAGAAATCGATTTTGGATATAGGTTGTTAAATTGATGTATGCTTCATCTAAGCCATCCGCATGAAAATCCGGATCATAATCTCTAAATATCTTCCGAGCCTGAAAATTAAATGCTGAAAACTTCTGTTATTTTATTCTGCTTTTCTAAATTTTAAAATTTTTAAAACACTCCAACGAACCGAAAATGCCTACCACCGAACTTGCTTCTCGATATTTTTCAAAAGAACCGGATATGATTTTTAGATGGGGGCATAACTTTTTGCAATAAAACCAGGCATAGCGGAGCGGACACCAAAACGACGAGCGGCATAATTTGATGTACTCTAGAAAAAAAGCTTGAACTGGCTGAAACATATAATGATGTTTTTAAAATATCTATTACATTCTAATTTCTACTTGAAAATGATGCAGTATAAGATGCTAAAATCATTTCATACTTTAATATAATGCGCTATATAAAAAACAGCTTCGAACAAATAGATAATAACTAAAAAGAGGTAGACTGATGAGAAGCATATTTCATAAAAAAGGCCAAACAACTGCTGCATCTATTCTGTATCACAGCTGTAGTGCAATACAAGTTGCTACAATAAAAATATCAATATAAGATATACTGTAACCACGTACATTAATGAATCAAAAGAATAATACACATACAAGCATTGAATTTGAACCAACGGCCATTGGAATATGGCGCAATGAAGGGTCATCTCTCATTTCAACAGATGCATAAAATGCATCCATGTCAACATGAACAGCATAACGAGAAAGATCACGTTCCTCTTCCAATATACCAACCAAAACATCCATCTAAATCGTGCAATCTACAGTGTATCACAAAGAATGATCCGTTAGAAGTCCACCTTAATTATAAATGTGTAGAATACAATAAAATATGATACGGAAATGTGGCGATAAAAAGCCAACTTCAGCCTGCGCCTGAAGAATCTGATGCGGAGTGAATTTCGCTGCAATGTTTTGATAACGTTTTATCTTGGCATCGATTCTCACTTTCTTTTTCTTTGCGTATTCCTCGAAATCTGGACTAGTATTTTCATTGATTATTTTCTGGACATGTTCCTAGAAAATTTTCATACTCTTTTCTAAAGAAGGACCATTTCACCCGAAATTTGCTACAGAATGAATTCTTATCAAGGACAGCAAACAAAATAATTAAAACGATGTAGCAAGGAACATAAAGAATAAAGTGTTGTTAATATATAAAGTGGTAACAATGTGCTCTGACTTTGTTCCACATGCAGGATTAGCTACTGTGGGATAACATAGGAAACAGAGCAAAAATTTCATTCCCAATGTTACATTTAAAATCTACTGCATAGTTGGTGCTGCCTTTTCCGGACAACCGACTGAATAATAGTGCACGATGTCCATCTACCATCACGAGATCCGCTGCCTTGTATGAGTTACACTAATTCTTATGAAAAAATGAAAAAAGGGAAACCTTATCAATACCAGCCATACCGGTCTTGCTGTCATCAAAGGCTAACATGTTTTACTTCACTCGTTATATGCTCGCTAGTCGATCATATATATGGAGGTCATCCAGACATACCATCGAATCTTTTCTTACAAAACACTGAAAAACGACTCACATAATAGATATGTAATATTTGTATTTGATTTTCAGAATTTTAAATTATTTATACATCTTTTTTCCCTGCAATTCACAACGTACAATCAAAAGTATTTCATAACCACAGCAACGATACGTTCACGTGGAGACTTTAACACTACAAAAAAACTATTTTCATCCCTGAACTTCAGTAAAGTAAGCCAAGTAAACAACGATACCCTAACCATAACTGCGAGCGCCACACTCTCAGACTGCTCAGCTCTTTCGGAGTCTTCATCTACTTGACAAGTAAGATTGACAGTAGAGATTATGCGATTGAGGAGGCAGCAGGAATCGATAAGAGTTGCGGAAAACAAGAGCTTGAAAGAGTGAGAGGTCGACTGGTGGCGACATAGGAAGACCTTGTGGTGGAAGCGGGAAGGGGCAGGGTGCCGTATTTAGGGTGTAATTACTGGACTTTCTGAGGTATTTGGTCAATAGTAGGCAAGAGAAAGTTCCGGGAATCACTGCCACTCACTTCCCAACTTTTCGAGATGTCCTCTGAATTGGTTTTGACAACCTTTTAACTTATCTATTTAGACAATTCTGCTGCCCTTTGTCTGATAAACTGAGTCAGACTGTTCCAGAACATTTGCTTAACAGATGAAAATTTTTAAAAACTGCGGACTTATCGTTATATGTGCTCTTTCATAATCAGATTTCTATTTTTATGACTAATGGTAAATTGGACCAATAATGGGAACTTTTTCTGAATAATCTAAAAAATTTTTCGAAAAAAGACCTAGTTTATTCGGCTGTAGCAGACCATCAGTATTTCGGCCTAGGCCACATACTGAAGTTTTAGCAGACTTTAAGACACCTGAAGTGATATTATGCATTTAGGAAGATTTCTGACGGCGGTGGTCAGGTTAGCATATAATTTGCTAGCGTTCTAGGTTGAAGTATCCTTTTTTTTCGCGGAGGTTGTGGCAAAGAGAGATGATGACAGAATATAGTTGAGTTGCTTTAAATAAAGGTATCTTGAAGGAAGGGCTGCTACTATTATGACATATTCTTGACTTATTTTCTGACTGCTGTCCTCCCAACTTTCTGTAAAACAGATATTGCAGAGAGAAAGCAAGGAAACCGAGCAAATGATTCGTTCAGTGTTAGTGAGTTTTTACAGTTTTATAGTTTCAATTCTTTGCTCGCTTTATCATGTTTTTAAGGATCTATTTCCTATAATCTTTTGAGTGATCAAAAGTAATGATTTTATTCTGATTGGATTTTAGGCAGTGGCATCTCCACTTCACCAGATGTTTACAGCCAGATTTTGCACCTCCTCTATTATGTTAACTGGTGTTCGACCTTTGGGTCCAAAAAACAAAGCACCTGATTTTTCTGTACGCTTATCTTTGCAGACTTATTTTTATCACTTCGCTTGGTTGTGGTTGCTATTTTGAAAATTAGAGAATAATCTTTTTGTACAAAACGATTTATAAAATCGTTCTGTGGAAGTAAGAGGGTAATTCTTTTGTGCGGAATCACTTTGCAAGCATATTTGCTGTTTCAGGGGACAGCAGTTGTAAATGGCGATTTCAAAACAATTAGCATGAAAGACTACAAAGGAAAATGGCTTATCCTATTTTTTATCCACTTGACTTGTTAGTTAATCTTCGTTTTGTCCTTCAAAATTTCGTATTTTGTCTTGGTGATTCTCTGAATTTTGTAGGATTTCTATTATGGCCAACGCAGTGGCACAGTGGCATTGCTTCAGCCTATGGGGTGATGATCCATGGTTTAACTCTGAGTGCTCTAAAGTCTTCATAGATAAATTGATCAAACAATAAGTTTGTTAATCCACTGATTCTTAACCTTGATCTTGCAATTAATACTGCTTTCAGTACATTCGTTTGTCCAACCGAGATTACTGCCTTCAGCGATCGATATGCGGAGTTTCAGAAATTAAACGCAGAATTAATTGCATGTTCGTGCGACTCCCACTTCTCACACCTAGCTTGGACACAGGTCCCGCGTAGTGAAGGTGGTCTTGGTGATATGCAGGTTCGCGTTTTTTATACTAAATTTCTACAAGTTTTGGTAATGTGTCCAATCTTCATTCCATTAGTCTTAAATAGGCTGGAAAATTTCCTTGCAGATTCCAGTGCTTGCAGACTTTAATAAAGATATAGCGAATGCATTCGGTGTGCTTGATCATGAAACAGGTATCTCATATCGGTAAGATACCCTATCTTGTTAGTTTGTCTAGAATATTTTAAATTTTGTTCACATCATGTATGCTATTCCTCAAACAAAATTAAGGTATCTCTCTTAGTTATTAAACCTCAATGTTTTTCTTTTTTTTTTGTTTCAGAGGTTTGTTCTTAATTGATCCAAATGGTGAAATCCGTCATACTCTGGTGAACGACCTTTCAGTTGGTCGTAGTGTGGATGAAGCATTTCGTACGTTGAAAGCCTTTCAGTTTGTGGAGAAACATGGTGAAGTATGTCCAGCAAATTGGTCTGATGATAAGCCAACAATTAAGCCCGGTGTCAGGGAATCCAAGGAGTACTTCAAAAAGTTGACGGTCATGCATTAAAGATCCGATAGCACGTAAAAATGAATTCTCATTTAAGCTACTTGAAGTTCTTTTTTTTTTTCGTTTTGTTTTGCTTTGTTTTGAACGATAGAGTTTTTTATTTGTTTGTTTAAAGGTTCAGTTGCTTTTTGTGGTGATATCTATACGATTTATAATAAATAATTGATATTTGAAAAGAAACCTGATACCAATTAAGTCGCACAATTTAACTTAGTCGAGCACGACACAGTTTCATGGGTGGGAAAGGCTGAGAAAGCTTGTTTTTCGGTGGATAATTTGGTTCGCAGATGAATCATCCTCGTTTTGAGTGAACTGGTATGTGGTTTAAAACTTACAAGAATACATGATTAATTTCATCAAGAGCTGTAGCGAGTGGTTGGATATGAAGGGTAATGTTGAATTTTAAAATGGAACTGTTATCTCTATATATGAAGTGCTCATCCATTATGTAGGCAGCGAAGTGATTGTATTTATACGTGACAATCCCACAAATGGCAACGGTAGAAAGGTATGGTAATTTCCAATCAAAACAGTGCTTAGGAGACCGAAAAGGAATGAAGGGCTCAGTATTGAAAGTCTTTTTGCAAGAATATTTTCGATGATTGGAAGTCGATGGATATGTTCTCTGAAAATGTTAAAACAGACGGAAATGATTAACAACATTTGTAGCTATGCGTTTCAAGCAAGGAAAGGTGAAGGTGAAGCACGCGTTACGAGTTTCCAGTAACTAAAATCTGAGCCAGGAGCATTCACGATACCTTAATGTTTATGCGTACTTGTGATAAGGGCCCGTTACTTATCCTTTGTTCTATTTGAATCCATACGGCCTTTATCTATTCTACGGTTTACTGTGCCACGAGAAAGTGAATTCCGAACCTTGGGAAGAAGCAAAACCCGTCTTGAACACCAATCTCCTAGAAGTTACGCGTGCAATACTGAACGAATTTTCACGAATTCTACGGACATACAATGTTTACATGTTCATTTGGTCCTAAATATTTGTAAGATTCTCCAGGATCAAGGAGTATGTATCGTCTAGAAATTGGTTGGGTTTTCGTTAGAGATTCAGACGGTTTGTTAAGGTGTTTCAGACGACTTCCTGACATAAATGAGACTTGAAAACTGCCATAACTGCTTTGTATTAAAAAATTTCGGTTGCTTCGGAAAGAACAATGAGTCTCATTATCCAGAACTCTGAGCACCTGGTATGGTAGTTCTCGAAATTGGTATCATTGTGGACAGGTTTTTCTTTTCTCACATATTTTAAAAATAAGTATCGCTGATAACCTGAAAGTAAACAGAAGGGTAATAAACTGGATCGTAATAAGTTGAAGTTACTTTTAGATTTCATGAAAGAAGAAATGACTGGTGATTATGACCAAGGACAAGGTGCGCAAAACACCAGCAGCAACAAAACATGAACTATGGAAGTAACTATAGTCGGGTCTTACTAATTGGCTCATTTCACTCATTTCAGTATTTTATTGTTCATTTCAAATATTCATGTAACCCTCTAAAATGAAGGGGCGCAGCTCTTATCCATCGTTTGTTCCATTAACTCGTGTTATTCAAAAATTCTTGTTCAAGCCATAGACCTGGATATAAAACATGGGCATGCAATTTGAATGTAGTGAAAAGCGGCAGGTCATGGGGACGCTGTTCTAATAAACAAGAGCTCGCGATTTGCAAGCAGTTTTTGTTTCAAAATTTACAAGCAGTTTCTAAATCATACTTGCCTGAATCCCTAAATGCTCAAGAAATGCCCTTCTTTACTGCTTAAAACTTAAATTTGGTTTTATCAGAATGTTTGAATATTCAAACAGGTTTGCGGAGGGAAATGCGAATATGCAAGGAAATCAAGGCCGACGGTCAATTCGAAAACATACAAAATGTCAATCCCCGCAAACTATTTATATCTTCCAATTAAATCGTTGGTTGAGTACTCGTACTTCGCTAACAGAACTTTTCAGCCCGCTCCAGGTTTCCGCAAATACACTCCCATATTTCGGATTTTTTCACGACTGCTACTCCTTCATTGTATTCTGTAAATCATTTATTACTTCCACTCAATTATTTGCTACTCGGTTAGTCCCCACTGCATTAAAAACAGTCAAATTTAAATTTGTCAATCACTAAACTTGTTTACATGTAGAAGAGGATCTCAATTTTTTGAAATTCAATTGTCCCTGCCAGAATTTTTATGACGGTGGCAAAGCCTTTGCCTTCCTCAAAACTTAAGAAAGCAAAACAATTCGAAGCAATCCAATCACTCTAAAGCAACCGAAATCAAGCAGCAAGTGCAGTCACTTGTTTCTTGTAGTTGGAAAAGATCACAGTAACGTATCCCATCAGAAAGCCTGCTAAACTTTTTAATACAATATCAAATCCTGAAAATTTGCAAGTAGTTTTCAACTTATACCTGTTTGAATCCACTTACAAGAGCACTGACAAACGTATGCTTAAAACTACAACATGCTCGATGACCATTAAAATTAAATCAAAATCGAATCCAAAAAGTTTAGTTCCTGCCCTCAAAGCTCACGATTCTGTTCATATGCATTATTATTGAACTTGGGCCCCCAGATTCTTCAAAATAACAAGGCAGTGCTAATAACAAAACACCTGTTAGGAATGTACAATACAGATAACTATTCGCACAAGCATTCGTACAATACAGATAATTATTCGCACAAGCATGCTACTGCGCTGGCGTTGTCAAGATAATATGGGATCAGAGTAGCCTCGTATATAAATAAAGTTTATCGGCGTAGCAGATAAACGTATATAGAATACAGAAGTTCCTGAAACCATAAATTACGCATTCGAGAGAAAACCGCAATTTCGATATCGGCCCGAAGACAGTTGAGGATAACCAAAACAAAACCAACTTACGACAAACATAATTGCCAGTTGTTGTTCCTCAGAAAAGTACAGATAAATTACAAAGACCATTTCCTATTATAGATCTTCAGCAGCTTAATTAGAACAAACTAAGATTTTTATAACGAAGATTCATTTGTAGATGTGCTGAAGATTTTACATCCACATTACTGATTCGTACCAATAAAAGTTCAGCAAAATACAAAATGAGCAAAGCAGTGGTAATTGAGAAGTAAAGAAATTACAAAAGCTGAAATGACCTACAAAATCAATTAAGTGGGTGACCGAGAAAAATAAGAAAACAAAAACGTAAGAAAGAGACGAATCTAAATTCAAGTAAACAAGGAAGAATTAAAGAATAGGTGTTTAATGTACATTCGTGCACATTAAGACAAAAAAGGAACGAATCATTACTGAGAAAATCAAATAATTTTCGTGCAGAAGATGATTTCCGGGATTTGGCCATCTTCGACAGATGTACCATTATTATTACCAGCAGCGTAAGTAAATTGAAAAGTTATGACTCCAGTTGAAGGGGACTGATGAACAATACGCCGCAAACCTTTGGTGCCATAATGAGAATCGGGACCCTGAGAAACTCATACGAGTGTAATAAGAGTCTAATTTTGTTTTTTTTAATTTTTTTTTTACGAGTCTAACTTTGCAAAATTAGACTCGTATGAGTCTAATTTCGCAAAGTTAACGGAAGTTAATGAATCCAGTAAAGTGTTCAAAAACTGATATTTTGCAGGAGAGGAATTTCGGTAAACATCTTACCTTTAAACGTGCAGAAGCAATGTAAGTAACACAGGGGCTGATTTCCACAGGTTCTCTGAACAACACTCGAAATGTCCCACATGACCCATCACAGGAAAATGACGTATCATTGCTTGCCAAAATTTTCCCCGTGCCACAATGAAGAATCTTGAACAGAATAGGAATAATACAGTTTATGTGTATGATCACGGGAAATATATTGCTCTAAACAGTATTAATCAGTGACAAGCAAAAAAAACCTACTTGAATAGTAACTTGGTACTCATGGGGACCGTGAATTGAGCCGTGCAAACCGAAACCAATAACATAGATTCTTCTATCAACAGTAAACCTAGAACTCAGGCAAATATTTCCATTTTTTACATGTAAACATATAGGTATTTCTTAAAAAGGTACTTCTTTAACTTGGAACTGGTCCAATGAATTTTCTGATTTCTTTAGCCTTTACACGAAGAATTAACTACTCCTGACTTCATCTTCAGCAGAATACAATGCAGGAAAATGTCGGGAAGAAACAACAAAATACCACGGAAGACTGATATATTTTAAACTTTATTCATATGCATTCCAGAACTTCATCACAGCCAAAGTTCTTTTACAAGACGTAAAGGTGAGTGACAGAGAAGTTTTGAATGGCTCTAAGAATGCGAGAATGCATGTCTTGATTTTTTCACGAGTTTTGCAATGAATGTTTCTGAGCAAACAGCAAAACTACAAGAGAAAACCGAGACCTTCGAGATTACCACTTATCAAAGATTCGGATTTTCCACTTATATGAATTTGAAGCAAAAAATCAAAAAGAAAAACAGAACATACTTAATACGATCTGGTGTACCGCTGTATCCCCAACGTCCTTCAACGCGTTGGAAACGACTAACTACTACTTCCTTACCAAACACGCAACAACGTGGAACATCCAGAAATTCAATCTGTGGTTTAGGATTGACCGTAAAATACAGAAAGAGGTTAACCAATTCACGATCAGTTAGTATACCTGTTTGAGCTAAAAATTTTTCCTTAATAAACTTCACGCAGCGAGTTCGTCATGTTAAATCAACAAAAATTTCTAAAGGTTCGTTTTTGTTTTTTCTTTTTTTCGCCTTCAAGATGAATATGTTTACCAGCATGTTGGGCAAATTCGTCAATTGTCATCAACGGAAAGCGTATCATATGTAAAGCTCTGCCAAGCACTGTTCGCTGATTCTCTGCACTAACGGTCAAGGTCCGACGTCGACATTCTTCCACACTCCATCGAAGTACTGCGAGGAATAATGGCGCTTCACGAACCCGCAAAGTGTTTCGCTTCAGAACAACACAAAGTGTATCCAGATCAATTTCCGTGAAACCTGAAACATCAATTTTGACTCAGTACAAGTCGCTGTTCAAAAGGAGAAACGTATTCATAGTTACCAACAGAAAAGAATGATTTACCTTCCGCATTCAAAGCCTCAATCGTATTTCTGTCAATTATATCTAAACAAAGGCTAGCTAACTGCGGCTCATCGAACAATCGTGCCTGAGTCAGCAACATAAAAGCGTTATCAGCGCCTAAATTTCGTTTCAAGAAATCAACACAAGCGAGTTCCATAGCTGGCACTGCATACTTTTTGGCTGAAGAAAATACGGAATAAAATATGGCTGAAAAAGAAATACGATTGCAAATGTTAACTTCATAAACTATTTTCTATAAAAACAAACTTTCCCAGTTCAGCTTTTGCAAAAGACATTAAAAATTTTTCACAGCTTAGGAAAATAATATATCATAATACCATATTACTCACGGTAGCTAGTGTTGTTTATCGTGAACACGAAAAACATTGTGAAGTTTCAAGGAATGCATGCCTGTATAGAGAGTTGTCATTACAATTTCTGGTCCAAAAGAAACATCATCTGTATAAAGGAATTTAAGCAAAGCCAAAAAAGCTCCAGGTTCGACATCAGGTAAGTAAATATCTTGACTACTTTCCACATTATTCGTCCCTGCTCCTACAAACAGCCGTTTATTTCTCATGGTGATAACAGTAAAACACATATACTGCATTTAAATTATTTAATGTGACTCTGACGAAATTTGTAAATTTGTTTAACAAATTTTATCCAAGATCTACCGATTGTATTGTTCGCCAACCCACCGTTAAACATAGCATCAAAAACAGCTGAGCCAGTAATTAATATGAATTTATGTGCAGGAATCCTCTGAAAAGAAAAAGAAAATATCAGCATGTATAAAATTTGCAGAGCTCTAGGCGCATCTACAGAACCAATAATTCTTGAAAGCGTATGACAAAGTATAACCAGTACATGCCTGGGTTAGTTCGCCGCGGCCAACAACAAACCAGATATCAGCAAGAATTTCGTTGCAATATAAAAACGTAAAACGTTCCTTCAGCGTGCTTTTCGATGCTTGCCAGCCCATATATGGTACTTCACCAGTTCCACTTCAACCAAAATAATTGTCTAATTTTTATGACACCAAGGAACTCATGCATTCGTTATTACATAATGTTCTTTTTTGATTTTATAACGACAATTTTATGCATTCAAATAATGCAAAGATTTGTTGTCTTAACTGCAGAAAAAAAAATTAAGGCAAAGTCTGACATCAGTGAGCATTTACTTGCCACAGCGTCTTCGATTCTCGAAGTGTCGTTTACCGCACGTCCCACAGCGACAGCATTGTGAAGTGGATATTGGCATGAACCTACACTTGACCCGTTTACATCCAGTCATGTCATGATTTCGTTTTGGTAAGCAAGAATAAAAAATCTCGACCGCATACTACGTATAAATGGATAAATTTGTAGCGATATTATAAGTACTAAAATGCTTGATAAATGCAGTAACTAATCGGTAGTTTCCATTTCACACTGTTTGGAAGAGATCCTCATGCACAATAAAGGCGAACACCTATGGAAACTGCATATTAATATTTAAAATACTAACCATCTTGAGCATCAATCAGACGTTTGTTCACTGAAGCACGGAGAGATGATGCGTTATGAACAAGAGATGTTGCATCATGCAGTGGTCTGGAAGCCCTCTCTGTATATTAAGTTTCAAGATTGAGAAGAAATGAATTAACGGCAAAATAAATTAAGTAACTGAGTTCCCAAATTTCACTGAGTTTATACAAACAAAACGTAGCTTTATACATAGGATATTAACAACACATAAATGAAGCTTATCAAATAACCCGATAACTTCCTCTGCTCGTGCTGTAATGATACCAACTGTTTCATTTGTTCTTTCGAGGAATTCGGAACCTCTGGTGTTTGGATCATTCAGCAAGCGTCGCTGCTCATCTGCAGCGTCATCTACTGTCTCCTATGCATTGCATGTGATAATAGCAGTTTCATTGCATTAAAAAATGTAAAAAATCCAAACAGGGAAGAACTGTATTGTTGAAGAAAGAACTCAAATTTGAAATACCGAATGAAAAGCCTGCTGCTCAATAATATCATCAATCGACATGCGGATGTGATTCTGTAAACGAAGCTGTTGCAAATCAGCAACAAGTGGATAACCATTTTCAATTTCTAACGATGCATCTTCGACATACGATTCCGACAAATCCTGATTTTTAGAATAATTAAGTGGCACACCGTGATTTGAATTTGATGAATTAGATAATATGAAATTATTATTTTTTTCCTTTTGACAAATTAGATAATATGAAATTACCTCATATTGAAACTAAGTAACGTAGCTTTCACTATCAGTGTCAAAAGAAAATTTCGTGATTTGGAAAATACAGCACACCATATCTGGAACGAAATTTTAGCATTCCTGAACTATAAGGATATTTTTTGTCCGATATCATTCTTCAACAGTACGAAGTCAATTTCAATATTCATTACTTTGAACTTACATCTACAAAATGTACGTCATTCTGATTCATATTTCCCAGCGGACGAGTGGCGCTTGGACCAGTCAGAAAGTTTGGGAGAGAACGAGAAGCATTAGCCGTAGTAGTTGCATCATTCGGCATATGTGTACTACCTGAAAGTATTGAGAGTGCAACAGCAGTTATTACTGAAATAACTAGTAACACATTTAATTGAATACCAGACCTTTAAGTAGAATGTTTAAATTTCTTAAAAAATGCAGTTACACCGTATGCTGGTCGTTGATCAATATGTAAGCAGCAAATTATTGTATTTTGAAAGTTTCACACTTACTTGCACATATGCTTCACAGTATCTGTGCAACAAGCAACACGCTAATCAACGTGAGTGCTTTATAACGTCAGCAGTAATACCTACTGAAATTGAACAGAAACAAAAATGAGTGCTACCGGTATGAAGATCGCAAGAATGGTTCGAGGGCTGATGACATGAAGTAGCAGCATACGAAGAAGAATCATTTCGAGATTCCTGAAGAGATATCTCTCTGTTCGTCGGTGTCCCAGTCCGATCAATTTTCGGTTTGGTCCCACCTGAGTTAAACTCTGAAGATGACATGTGGAAGCTCCACAGAGATTATGTGCTGGTGGTGGCTTGAAATTTAGCAAATATTTTTGTTTCGACTCTGCAACAGGAAAATGCAGCCTTGAGAGATGCTGATTTCGTCGTTAGCGCATCCCGCGTATGTGATTCCTCCAGCTGTCCACCATCATGAACTTAAATACTCACCCATCCTCCCATACAACATTTTCATCGTCTGCACACGGTATATTTCGCATAGACAAAGATTTTCGAAAGTCGGTCCCAAACCCAGTAGGGAGATATCGAGCCAACCCTCTCAACGAATTTGGAAGGTCTCAGGGGCCGAATGCATTCCGCTAACCGGTGCCGATACTTCATTAAAGCAATGTGAATGTCTGCTATCCTTCCATTACAGTCATCAGGAAGTACTAGACGATTTTTTTCTATCGAAAATTTAATAGCTTTATAATATGCGTTAGTAGTATCTTCGAAAGAACCTTAAAGAAAAGGTTAACCTTTGGGGGTACTTCTGGTCATATATTTCCATTACTTTGTTATCTTTCCATCAGTTCCTCTATACGAATACAAATTTGTTTCCATAGACCGGACATTCACAACAACACCAACATATCAAGGAGCCACTCTTGACATGCTTTTCTAATCGTAATCAATTAGTCTTTTTGCCTCTGATGTTCGCTATCGCTTACGTCCATCATTACCTTATAAATTCTGATTTACTTTAAATGTTATGGTATCGTGACAATAATATGGAAGTAAGATGGGATTTTGATTTCCACTGCTTGAAAACCTTCGTGAATCAGAAGCTTTCTGACTGATTGGTTTTTCAAATTTAAATATAAAATAAAAGATTTGAAAAATGTCCAGCTTGGAATTTTTAAGCCATTATCGAAGCTGCTTTTAGCGATCTGCGCGGCTGTTGTACTGTGAGTGTAGTATGTAGCCACCACTTAAATGTTGAAAATGTTGTATTTGTATAGCTTTGATCACAGTCCATCGCCCTTGTTGTGTAAATTACAGACTTTCAGAATTTTATTTCGTTTTTGTATTGTCGCCACAGGTCCATGTCATTTTCGTTATTAAAAAGTTGCGTCAGACTAATCTGGTAAAAAGTGATGCCTCTCGCCTCTTCGGTATCGGGAGTTCAGAGGTCAATTTGTCAAGATTACGAGAGCATACCAAGATAAGGTTTCGAATAATGTGAGCTTTGATATTAAAAGTATTAGTGCCGAAGCTTGAGATAACTGTCTCATTTATTTGAGTTTCTTGCGTAACAAGTTCACAGTTTATATCTTCCTCACAATATTTGATGTTCAACCATTTATTTATCTTTATTAAATTCATATAAGTGAAAAAATGAAGGGAATCTGGAAATAGAATTCGTAACACAAACATTTATTAAATGTGGAAAACATTCCTTTCTTATTTATCACCAAAGAACATTTTGAAAGGACACAGGCAGAAGTGCTAGTTTTAGTAAGAAATTTACCCTTTACTCGTTTGTCCCTTATCTTATTACGAAATGACATGACAAGGTGAGTAGATTGCGCATGATGATTTGTTTTTGATACAGATGACATTGGATATCCTTGTAGTTATAAGATTACTTCGAAATTATGAAAGTACGGCTTCCTCCTGCACTATTAAACTGAAATTCAAAAAAAAAGGAAAAAAAAAGAAACTTCAAGACTAAGGCTGACTGTTTAAAATTACAAAAATTTCAATTAACTGTTATACAAAAAAGAAACAGCCCGGAAGGAATGCGTATAGAATGGATTTTTTTTCAACAATTCAACTGTTAAAAAAGGTGAAAACAACACACTGTTCTCTGTTAAAATATATGAATAAGTTTGGTGATTCCTGTTAGAAGGTGAATTGTTGATATTACCTGTAATACTGGAATAACACGGTATTTGTGTCAGGTGTTGCCTTGAATTGTGATGATTCCAATATGGCGAACTAGCGAGAAGGTAACCTAGTGCTGATGAATTGATCTTTTGGTGGAACTGAAATCTGCCTGTCAAGACACAGCCTTCAGTTAAGCCCCTTAAACTTTAATAAACGTTCATAGGTTTCATAGGTTCATAGGTTAAAGACTCGCCCCACTGAAATATTTTCATGACAAATATTAATTCTCAATTAGCACTGTAATCTACGTGTGTCATCAAGAAATTATCCTTTACATGATTTATCAGCATACGTACATCGGCTAATTTTTTAAATTTATGCTTGTTTGTAACTTGCAACTCGATTTAACAACGAAACCAATCAATCCTTCATGAAGTTGTAACAAAAAAAGTAAGCTAACATGGAAGTAAATCAACAGATTTTGAAATAATCATTTCATAGACATTACTTCGCAACATCCATGGAATCTTCGTGAGACTATGATTTAAATAATTACAAGCGTTTTCTGCAAATAATATTCTGCCGTTAAAAGTGAGCGGTTGATCGACAAAATCGCACATTATCAAATATTATTTAAAAACTTATTTAGGATTTCACTTATTCAGTTCCAATAAAAAGACATACCAACTTTTGGGATAATGTAAGCATTTTCTTCCAACTCATGTTTTAGATACAATACTGCATATTTCGACTTATCGTGCTGTCTGTATTATCATTAAACTTCTGTCACTTGCCTTATTCACTACTTTGTCACGATGATTTAAGTAATTTTTTAAAAAGCTATTTTATAAGTTTAGCCCTATGGCGCATAAAAGAACAGCTAGCCACGTATATTTTGTTCCTTGTACATAGTTCTAAACATGCTTTTGCATAAGTTGTTTGGGTAGCACATGTGGACTTGTCACTAAAATTAAAGATATCAAATGACTTTTAAAGAAAAATCAAGATTTGTTTTCGGATAATATACACTTGGTGAGAATGAAGACATTCACATACCTTCGAAATTACAACTGAGTTGTTCACAGTAATTCAAATGCGTGAAGTCAGTTGATGACGAATCAGAAGTTGTGGTGGATGACAAAGCTATCCATTCTGAGTAGTTTGTTCTGGGAACGAATGTATTTTTTGAAGCTTTGCCATCCTGTTTCTTTTGTGAAGATTCAGTTTGATGTTTTTCGATAGCCCAGACAAAATTTTCATAAGTTTCCGGTTTGGTACTGGAAAGTACGAAGTAGTACTAAGAAATTGGAAATTCCAAATCAATAAAAACCAAACATGTGCAACAGTTATTACCACATAATACTGTCATTTCGCTCAGTCAAATATTCTTCATTGATTTCCTTGTTGAGCTTTTTTGTTTCACAGCTTCCAAGATAAGCAATCTTATCGATAATCAAGTATTGATTCCGTGCTGTTATCCCATTGTGAGATGATATTAAGCTGCAAATTCAATCTTTATTGTGTTTTTCAAGTTTTATGAAGCTATCTTTTCAGCTGCAAAATAAAACGAAAACCGTAAATGATTCCAGAACTGTCTCTTTGAAATCGAAAATTAAAAGAGATTTGTCATCAGCGACTTCATCATTCT